GGTCCATCTAATCAAAACCTGCATTTACTTTTCAAGCAGGAACTGTAAATGCTGAAGTACCCCTAATGACAAGCCTATTCCTTCACAGGTAATGCTAGCTTGCTGTGTCAGTGGAGAATTCCACTGTACAAACAGCAACTCTATCCTGTTTGGGTTCATCTTTAGCCTGTTCTCTTTCATCCAAACTCTTGCAAGTGCTGGCTAAAACATCAACAGCATCTCACCTATAGCCTGGAATGGCAAGGTATAATTGGGTATGATCAGCAAACCTTTAAATGACTTCTAGTGATTTCATATGCATACTAAAAAGCAGGGGAGAGATGACCACTCCTTTGCACCCCACAAATCAGGGGCCACAAATCTGATTTCTCATCCCCATCACTACAAACTGCAACTAACTCGTTCCCTGAAGGAGAATGACCTTAAAACAAGAAACTTGTGTAATAATTGCTGTTATGGTATGGGTTAAATAATTCAAATGGTATGTGTGTATATTTGCTTCTTGACAAAACAGTTATCTATAGTTCTAAATTCAAAGTAATACACAGGGAATTTGGTTATGAATTAAATATACATTAATGGAACTGTAGCCATCTTAGTTGTGGTGATAATCTGTTTAGCTATACACAGACACTTGTCAGCAAGTATCTTCTATGTTTATTGAAATGTTAATTCAAAATTATTATGCAATTGGGTTTTTAAGTTTCATACAATGAGGTAAAGAGAAAAAAACTTAGATTACACATCCCTGACATTCTTATTTCATTGGTTCTGTCAAATGCATTTAAAGGAAAGGATGGCATGGTTTTAAAAAAGGTATCCTAATTTGGAACATTACAGTACATTTATTGGGACTGATTGTTACAGAAAGAGAGAAGAAAGTCCCCTGAAGTCACTTCTTGTACTCTTAGCTACAGTAAAGGCAATTGGCTCCATGACAGTGTTCTGTAGCTATGTATCTAGAATGCTGAGTCGTCACTGGCAGACCTACAAAAAAAGCTGTTGGATTGTTCCCCATAGCTTGCTGTCAGTCTTCAGACCAGACAGTGCTCAAATAAATGCAACACTACACAAATGCAAGATGAATTATTTGAACTTGAACTACTAGATGAATTTAAATGACTAGGAGAATTATTTCAGTTATCTCAAGCACACTTCTTCAGCTACTACGCAGCAATCTAGGAATTTATTTTAATGTAAAGTTAGCATGCTGATAGGAAGTGTGCTTCAGAAACTACTGTATTGGTTAAAATTAGTTGTATGTTGCTTATTCAAGCAACTCGAGCAGCTTGCAATAATTAAGACCATCAAATCCAAAATATTTTTTAAGAAAAACATTACATCTATTTGTTCTGTAAGCCTTTGTTCTTTAAATTCTCAGAATAGAGATGCTACATTAATTAGTTGGGTGTATTGTCTCTGTAGCTTGAACCCTTAAATGTGGTAGCATATCCAAAGCGCAACTTGTACCATCTTAATGCCAACCTCATTTTCAATAACATTGCTCTTCCTGAAAGATGCTTTAAGCAATCAAAACTAATTTGTTTTCCTATTTTCTTCCAATTAGAGGCCAAGAATTTACAAGAAATGGGCACCCAGATAACATACCAGAAGCATATTCTTTCCAAGATTGATTGTATAATGGGTAGCATCAGTATTTGGTATAACTAATATAGAATTCCACCTTTGGGGTGGCAATCAGCTTTTAAAACCTGTATGCATGTTCATAGTTGAGCATTTCTCTGATTTATCATTGGAAGGATAATCACAGTGCTTGCATTACCAATCCTTTAAAAAACTAAAACAGTAATTCCTAAATAATGACTCAAGGCAGATTAAAGTGCCACAAGAACTTTTTATAATATAACTTGTAAACTCATTCCCGCCTACATAGGCTTGCAGAGTTGACTGTGTCTTTCTGAGAAGTCTCCATTGTGAGTAGGCACCTGTGTAGTATATCTTCAAAGTTTTTGTTCGTTCCATTGGCTAATTATAATGAGTATCCTCATAGCAAAATTGCCTGTCTTTGAAGAGTTTACAAAACTTTGCAGCCATTCAGCTAAAAGGAAAAAAAAAAAACCAAGATGTGACTTAACTGGATGTTCTACTGGTTAATTCTGATAAAAGTGCAGTCACTAAAATTGTTTAATGTACCCCTTTTCTGGCTGTTTTACTGCCTTGGCATTTCTTTTCCATTCTTTCCCAGATGTTTAGTAAATCTTGGATTTATATACTGGATTTGAAAATCTGATGCTGTGTGCCACCAGTTGTGTGCTGTGGAAGATGGCTTCCCAGATGCCTCTTGGCTGAATTCTTTGTTGCTTGTCCCTCCACTTCAGTTTGTTGAGGCCGAGGAACCGGCAACAGTAGTCCAAGCTCCCCAATTGAGATTCAGTCCTCTGAGGCAACAAGAGTTGGGTTACAAGTAGTCCTCATTGAGCAACCACATTAGGACCAGCAGCATGGTCATAAAAGCGGTTGCTAAGTGAAACTATAACTGTGTTATATGGTCTTACTTTAGCTTTCCTTTGCTTTACAGACCTGTGAAAGTCATAGATGTGGGTATCGGTCATAAAGTTACTTGTTCATCATCTTTTAATTGCAAACAGTCATTGACTAAGGCAGTCACTAAACCACGACTACTTGCATTTAGAAAGACAAAATAGTCCTATTTAAAATAAGGACAGCATTTACAATTCAGATTATTCTAATACATAGATATTATAATTCTCAGGTTTTTTTTAATAGTCAAGATCACTGGTTTTTGTTTGTTTCATGCTAGTAAATAGCTAACTTCTGTAATAGGCAGTTCGCATTATTGGTATTAGCTCCCAACTGCATTTTTATTTTCATATTACAGAATTTTCTAGGAAAGGTTTAATTATCTGTTTAACTAAAACTTTTGTAGATCAGTAAATTAACATATTTCTGATCATAATAACAATAGATCCAACTCATCTGAAAAATTACTACCTCAGGCTTAGATTTAGGCTTTATTATAGATATTAATACTCTTTCACCACCAATTTTCCAGTTTGAAGCTCAGATGCTTTCATATTTATAAGGCAGAAAAGCTACTATACTTGCAAAGCATTTCATCCAATTTGCCTGTTGAACATTTTGTAACCTCTGTGAACACTAAGGTTTTTATGGATAACTAGTTGAATCTAAGGTCAAGAAGCTGGCACCACACAACAAACAGGAAAGTGCAATGATAGAATTGTAAAAAAATGTAATGGCATGAATAACAACTGATAGCAAATGAGCAGAGGGAACAGAATGCATAAACAAAGACAGAAAAAGCAAAATATCTTGTAATTATTTAGATAAGTTGCTCATTTCAGCGCCACATATTATTAGACTTTTCAATTTAGACTCTAATATTTAGAATTGCTTATCAATAAGAATGGCATACAAAGCTGTATTGGAACAGCAATGTTGTTGAGAACTGTTTGCTTGAAGTTTTCTCAAGTGCAATATAGCAGCTGAAAATAGATGCCTTCCAGTTGTTTAAGGTGTAATGGCATCTGTTAATAACATACAAGCTGCTAAGATTTTATAAATGAGAATAAAACTATTGTTGTGTCACTTCCCTCACAGAGAAACATTTTCTCCCCAGGCTGTGATCCAGAGTGATGATTCCTGGCATGCAGCTGACATGTAGCTTATTAATCTAAAAGTAGTTTAGCTGGCAGGATGTTTACCTTTGTGTAGTGTCTATGATTGTACACAACTTAGGTGAAATGGAAAATAGAAGTATCATCCATAACTAAAATGCCAGTGATACAAACGTGCTTGTAATATGTAAACTGTTGGTAGATGTGGTCAGCATATCAGCTTCAGTTTTAAGCTTTCAATGCTTGGTAGTGTCATTTCTCCAGGTTTAATTAAAATATTTATATTTTGTCAGTTAAATGGTGCATCTGTAAGTAATGTGCAGAATTAAAAATAAAAGTTAAATAGAGTAAATGAAAATAAAATCACAGTTTATCATGATAGTACTGATAATTAGGATTACAGTTTGTCAGGATTATCAAGATTTCAAATTAATCACATATCAAAAATCAAAAGGGTCTTTGCAATTCAGGAAATGGATGTTAACAAGCTTAAATGTTATATTCCTGCTTGAGATCAAAGGAACATTTGGAGGATGATTTACACCTGACGTGGTTTTTAGTAGGCAAGTAGATTTATATAGGAGAAGGTATTCCATCAGTGCCTCAATTATATAATATGAAAACATTTAAATTGGTATGGTATCAAGTCAGCAGCTAATCTTTCAATAATAGTTTATGCTGCAGTGACTAGGTAAATCACAGCAATCTTATTAATGCATTTTGCATGCTATTGTGATAAGACCTACATATTGCATTTAATGTTCCATATAAAGGTAGCCCCCCACCCCCGCCCCCAGTAGAACATGTTATAAGAATCCCATTAGGAAGGGACTAGGGACTATTAGTTCTAGGGACTAAGCTATACAATCCATGTCATTTCTACATTGCTTACCTCTGTATTAAAACTTTAAAATAATTCTAGCCTTTAAGTGCCTCTAGTGACAATTGTATATTTCTGTCAGGATCTCTGCCTGCTCCTTTAAAGAGGAGCACAGCCCTCATCCAAAGGAGGTGAGTTGTGCAGCACTTGGATGTCAAAGGTAAAAATATGTTTGGGGGCACTCATATACATCTCTGTAAAAGCAGATGCATCTTTTCCAAAAATATTAAGGCAGCCTTCCACAGCTGTTGCACCACCCCAGGAAAAGATGCTTTAATCAGTTGCAGATGGATGCTATGTGTCTACTCTTGCAAGCTTCAAAATATTTTTTTACTTTTAAATCCTAGCATTATATAGCCCTCTTGTTTTTTAGATTTGGGAGTCATATTCCCATAGAACATTTCAGTATGATTTACCAATGTCATGAATCTTACACTTTTAAGTAATCTTGTATTTCACTGAAGAGGGTTTTCTCACCCACCCATTTCTGTTCCTGTTTCTAGACTCTGACAGCTTCCCAGACTGAAGGATTCTCCAGAACACCATAGATGCAGCACTGTGTTACTGCTACAGAAAAGGGGAACTGACAGGTATCAGAGAAGGAGCCTGCAATTTGAACGTAAGAGAAAGAATGTATTTACTGTATTTGGGATTCCTTCCCTATCCACTAATAGAGAGTGCTCTCCTTTTTATTGTGTAGGAAGGCATTGAAGGCTGACTTCTTGTACAGCTTTCAATTTATAGATTGCTGGATGCTGGGAAGATTGGCTGTTATTCAGTGTATAGTGTAGAGTTGATTATAATTTTTAATAGCATTGTTTTAAAGCATTTGGAATAAGGATGTCCAAAATATTCCTGGATTAATTGTATCATGCAAAGCCTATATTTTTCAAATTTAGGGTATTTTAATACAGGGGATTATTTACTATATTTTTCGGACTATAAGACACTCCGGACTAAGACGCACTTAGCTTTTGGTGTGGAAAACAAGGGGAAAAAATCCTGCCTCTTCCTCTGCCTCCCAGCAATTTGCTTTCTTGCAGCAAACAGCCTGGTCAGCTTCAGCACAGCCTGATCTAGCACGAGCAGCTGATTGGCGGTTGGATTGGCCTCCCAGAATACCACTGATCAGCTGTTCCAGGCTGCGGGGATCGCCTCCTCCTTCATGCACCTCATTTTTGGTGTTCACGTGTCCCGTTTTCAGCCCATTCCAGGTGGCGGGGATCGCCATTGCCTCTCCTCACTGCCTGGAATGGGCTGAAAATGGGGCGTGCAGAGGGCAAAAATGGGGCGTGCAGTAGCAGCAATAGACAGCAATTCCTGCAGCATGGAACGGCTGCGGTATTCCAGGAGGCAGATCCAACCGCCAATCAGCTGCTCGTGGTAAATCAGGCTGTGCGAAAGCTTACCAGACAGTTTGCTGTTTGCTGCAAAGAGGCAAATTGCTGGGAGGCAGAGGCCGAAGGGTGGGGGCCGGAGGGCGGGCAGGGCTTCGGCAACATTTGCTCTATAAGACGCACAGATATTTCTACCCACTTTTTAGGGGGGGAGAAAGTGCATTTTAAACACTGAAAAATATGGATAATTAATCATTAGATAGGAAGAACAGAATTTCTTAGGATAATTTATTACATTTGAATAAGATGATCAGTTGGCATGAGCCAAACATCATTTTGGAGAGTTTGGATTTCCCTTTTTACTAAAAGTTGTTTTTTAAAACACTCAGACAAGCTATCTGGGAGAAATACATTATTATGGTATCATAATAGTATAATTGTGGTACTTGTGATTCCGAATGGCAACTATCTCTGGGTAAATCAATAATGCAATTTTTGACTTAGGTATAATAATGACATTTTGTTATAATGGCTGGCTCCCAAGATTGCAAAATCTATCATATTTTGCCAATTCATATTCGCACAATAGTCGATTCATATTCGTTCAATTCATATTCTCACAACAGTTATTCAAGTCATTTGTTTTAAGATATGACTATTGCAAGTCTACTAATTTTTTTACACAATAATTGGCATGTTAAAAAGTTAACTTGGGAGCATTTACAGGACAAGGATTATTTTATAGTTTAAATGCCAGATGTATATGGTACTCAGTGTGGTAATGAATCCCATGATTACTTTTATATACTGAGATGGGTCTCTGAATATACCTACTGCACCATGTAAATACAACATATAAAATGGCTTTAAGTATGTGTATGCAGTGCATCTGATCTACACTCTAGTGTCTTTAGGATATATTAAAGGAGCAAGTTATACTACACATGTGCCCATACGTTGTGTTCTATAATACATGTAGTAATAGGCTCAAACCCACACCCAGTTTGCATATACTCTAGGTGAGTACAGCATATTCACTAATAAATGGATGTTTTCCAAATAGTTACACTGTCTTCTAGTGACGATGTCATAGCAGTATCTTAATATGCTGTTAATTTCATGTCTGCATAGCTTAAGGTGACACATTAAGTTGTCAAAGTCTGATAAATGTTAAAGCAATTTATCTTAATGGAACTTTGCTAGAAATATTGGGAAGATGCAGCACAGCTTATTCTATTAGTAGTAGCTTACAAATTTTTAAACCATTATATTCTCAACTAAAATAGAATTCAGAATATTAATCCAAAACAATACAGTAGATACTCTGAATTTTAAAAATATTCCTAATTTTTCTGGCACTTTTTATTGGGTTAGGCAATCGTCATAATTATCAAAAATTGTGAATTAATTCAATTTTAGAAATATAAAAGTTTCATTAGGTAAGAAATACATTATGGATGAGCAGAAAGTCTGCCTCTGTCCTTAGCACAGTACAGTACTTGAACATTCTTTCAAATAAGCTGTTACTTAATGTCTTTATTGTCAGGCACAAGCAAGCAGTTCCACACATGAGGGATTAAAATTGAATATACCTACTTTATTATATTCTACCTATAATAAAAGACTGCTTGCCTTCTTTTGGGAACTAACAAATAAGATTCCATGGAACTTGAGGAGGGGGTCAATCTGAGGTTTTTTGTAGCTGTGCAGCGATGTAAGGCTAATTCCTCATTTGACTCCTCCTCCTTGTCTCCCTAATAGTTTACCAACTTCACCCCTCTCCCACAAAAGCCCCCCTCCCTTTTCCATGTTGCCTCCAATGTCTGAGTTCTCATAGGGAATTCGGACGGGTGGGAGCAATGCAACTTTAAAGGAATTGTCTGCCCCAAGTCTAGAATCTTCCCACCCAGGTGGCAAGACACTACATATCCCTTGATGTCTGCCGCCATCCTAGGTCACCTAAAGTTTCACAATATCCTGTGTGGTGTCTTGAAGACACTTCCATGACCAGTTGTCTCAATATGATGGCAAAACTACAGAAAGGTAATGATCCCTTACTGTGATCTTATTACAGTATATACAGATAATATTACTTATTATCTTTGTAATTGTGGACTATGCACATCTGGACCTCACTAATTGGGTTCTGAAATTCTGTCTCTCTTTAGGAACAAAAATGGTAGGTGCTAAAGTTGGTGATTTTAATAAATCCTGATAAATCCTCTCTGCAAATTGGAATCCAAAAAAGAATATTGGATATTGCTTCTTAGATGGAATTCTGGCCCAGCTTTCTATCAGTGCTGCTTTGTTCCAATCCACATCTGCCAAAAACTTGAAATCACTTATGCGTTCTTTGAGCTGCTGAATCTCACAGCTGGCTGTCATGATTTATACTCAGAGGCTCTAAAATGTCCCTTGAATCTGTCCATCAAGTTCTGGTAGTTGTCCATGACCTGGTTGTTTCCCTTTAGGATTGGCAGCATCTACTTAACTGCCAACCCCTTTAGCAAGTTTAGCACAAAGGATACCCTTGTGTGTTCTATAGGGAAATTCTTCAGTTCAACCTGAGTGGTAAAGGTTCTTATCTTGTCCACTTCTCCCCCCCCAAATGTTTCTGGCAAACCTCCAGGGCAACACAGCAAAACTGGCTGTGCAGCTGGAATGGCTGGGGATATTGGCCAGCCAGGATATTGAGTAGGCAGAGCCCCTGGCAGTGGGATGTTCTGAACTTGCTGTCCTCACTTCAGTCTCTATCCCTTTCTGATGCCATAGCGAGGCATCCACTATATTCTGAGCTGGTTCTTTGGGTCTTGGCCATCACAGTAAACTTTCTCCTTTCCCCAGAGATAGAAATCTGGAGAGAGATTAATGAGCAAGCAACCAGATCCACATGTAAAAGATTCAAGTTGAGCCTATAATACAAGTATCTGTCCAGACTGCTTGCCTTCACTTGGGAACCAAAAGGAAAGGTTCCATCGAACGTGGAGTGGAGTGGGGTGGGGTGGGGGTTGTCAGTTCTAGGTGTTTTGCAATTGTGCAAAAGGTTTTTTACTTGCCTGGCTGGTAGTTTCCCAACAGTCATGCAGAATTACCAAAAAAAACCCAAGGATTCACCTTCCCAGCACCCCCTCTGGTTCTTTCTTTCTTTCTTTTATTTATTTATTTTATTCGGCTTATATGCCGCCCTATCTCACAATGGACTCAGGACGGCTCACAACAATAAAACACAAGCCACAATATAAAATAAAGACCAAAATCTAAAAAATTTAAAATTAACCCTTAAAACCAATTAAAACCCCATCATCAGTCCAGGTCAAGGGATTTGAAAAGCCAAGTTTTTAATTCCCGGCGGAAGGTGCAAAGGTCAGGAGCTAATCGGAGCTCCAAGGGGAGTTGATTCCAGAGGGTGGCCGCACCGACCAAGAAGGCTCTACCCCTGGGGGCCGCCAGCCGCCACTGTTTAGCCGACAGCACCCTGAGTAGGCCCTCTCTATGGGCGTGAACCAGACGCCCATAGAGTTTAATCATGTGTTTGGCCAACTTCAATTTTAATCCGTTCTAAAATTAAGTCCTGTAAAATTGTCTGAAGTATGTTTGTATATATATTACTTGGAATATAGCATTTAAGGCCATTTGCAGCACCCCACAGTCAAATGACGTTGTTTTATAACAGAGTTGCCAAACACCGGAACTTCCTGTTTTTGGCAAAACCACCCCCATGGCAAACCATGGGTTTGCTTTATGCCTTTTGTAAAAAGAAAGGCTATAAAATTGAGTCACCCTGTGATCAATCTGTTTTATGATCCTAACAACTTTCAACTATCCATTACAATCAAATGTCAAGGTCTACCTATATCCATTTGTAAATGCCACGTTTCCATGGAGTTCGGTGGGCAGTTCATCAGTTCACACTATCATGAAGCAACGGTGTGGCAGTTCTTTAAAATTTTGACTTTCCAGTTAACTCAAATCTACCAATCTGTTGCCAAATCTGACAGCCAAAAATCTTGAGGCATGTCTGAAGAGTAACTTTGAAATAATCCAACTAAATTCAGAAAATAGAACAAAGCAATTGAGAGACATACTTTATAGAAGCATAACAATAGCTCTAGATTGAATATGAAGATAATTGAATAGATCTTTGCACAGACAATGTGAGCCCTCTACATTTTTGCCCCAAGCTATATCTGACATGCTCTGAGTTGGTGCAGCAAAAGTCACTAAATGAAGTGACTTTTCAGCAAAATAAATGCTAAATAAGTGTTGTTACCAATGAGATAAAAGAGGATTAAATGATTTTGCATAAGTTAAATACATCAGATTTTTTTTCACAAACTTTCTTTCAATATAATACCAACTATTAATTGCTATGAGGTCTGTTTACTACTTTCCAGTGTACAGAAAATAAATTATGATTTGTTTGTTTTTTACAGCTTGGATGATCCATATAGTTCTCTTTGAGGAGTCAAAAAGCAGACAGCTCATGACTTCTGATCAGGACACTAAAGTTGTGGCTGAACCGCAGGTACAGCAGGTGCAAGAAGTTAAGGATAGCTCTCATCTGGTAAGTATTGACATTCTCTTGACTAGTGGGAGCTTGCAAATATAACTAATTAGGCACTGTGTTATATGCTTTGAAGTACATTTTTGCGCTTGGTAACTTGTCAAGCTACTTTACAAAATCCATTTGTAGCAAGTAGCAATCTTCTCATGCCACTATAACATATTTTTTTATGTAATTAGATTTTAGTTAATTAATACTAATATAAATGAAGACATTACATAACTGATACTGCCAGTAACAGCAGCCAGCAAATCAGTCTTCTTATGGTTTCACCTTCAAATCCTATCAGCTCTGAAAGCATAGCTAGAAGGCAAGAATGATGGGGGTTATGGTTCAGAAAAACGTTTACTCCAGATCCATAGTTTTAGTCTAGATCACGGGTGTCAAACTGGTGGCCCATGGGCTGGATGCATCACACACAGGCCATGGCCACCCTGGGTCCATGAATGGGAAAAACATCATGAAATATCCCGTGACGGCAGTGTGGCACCGAGAGTTTAACACCTGTGATCTAGATTAAGAAATGTGCTGTCCTATATTATACTTACAATTTATAGTATGTTCACAGTTTTCTGTTGCTCCACAAAAGCTTTTATATGAAAATGGGAGTTTTACAATATTGCATATCTTTAATACAAGTATCTATTACTATCCTTCATTGGGCTAGCAAGATTTCTTTTTCATATCTACGTTAGTAGCAGGGAAGACAGACACACTTTATTTAGAAAATTCCAACAGGGGAAGGAGATACTGGATGAGGTATTGTAAAGAGAGGGTTTCCAAAGTTAATTTCCCTGTACAGTGAAAATGGCTTACACAATATGATTGTTTTTACCAAAACCCAGTGAAAAAAGAACATCTACATGAGCAAAATATCTGTGATGAACCTTTTAGACTTTATTTAAATAATGTATTAAAGTGTGTATTTTGAACAAACAGAACGAATAGGGTTTAATTACATTTCTCTAAGGCATCTTTTTAATTTGAATCTTGTTTCCTTCATCCAGTTTGAAATTTTTTGGAATCAACTTGAATTATACCCCTAGGCATCTAAATTGTTACTAAAGCCATATCAGAGATTATCTAAATTGCTGTTAACAATGGAAAGCATAATTTTCATATCTGTATACTGGTACAAGGATTGCACTTCACTGCCACAGAAATTAAAGATAATTTAAGTTAGTCATGATTAGATTTTCATACTGATTTCAGTAGACTTAAATTTCATAAATATACCCTGTTTTCCCCAAAATAAGACATCCCCTAAGCCCAATTGGGCTTTTGAGCACGTGGCAATAAGGCCAAGCGCTTATTTCAGGGTTCAAAAAAATATAAGACGGGGTCTTATTTTCGGGGGAAACACGGTACCCTGAATCATTTTTATGAGCTTCTGAATTGATGGACATTGTTCACTTGCCTATTTAAGGTAATCGAATTGTACTATGAATTATATGTAACGAAATACAGACATGGTCCAGGTGTAGGGGCATATGCAAGTTTTAACATGATGTTTAGAACTCAAAACAGATCAGTCCATTCAAAATATAGGAACATTTCACGTTTTGTTTATTTTTGTTTTGTTTTTTAAATTTATGTGCTGCCCATCTTGCTGTCCAAAGCGATTCTGCTTGGAATCTACTTGCCCAAACAAACCTGAATATTTTAATGTTCCAGCATAGGAAAATAAAACATTGTTCAGAATAATTTTAGTTTATTTTTAAAAAATCAAAATACCTTGGCCATTTTTTTTTAGATTGGGTGGTAGAAAGTTCATTGCTTAGAATATTTACCTCATCTATTCTTGTGATTAGAAAAACAATGAAGCAAGAGCTTATTTTAAGTTCATATTGTTCCCTTTGGGAAACACATAGAATGGAACAAATTTTTCTCACAGGTGTATAGAAAAATTCAGGTTCTTTCTTTAAGCTTTAAAAAATTTGAACGGCTTATCCATATCTGCTTTAAATTCAGGCTTTTAAAGTTTTTGGTTCCCTTCTTGAAGTGAGTCAAAAAAACAGTGTTTTCTGGCAAGATATTTTTGCCTTAAAGGATGGTTTTCCTTCTTAATTTTCTAGCTTGAGATACTGAAAAGTATACAGGATACATATATTGTCCTATGGGTTTCCTTAATATTGGATAGTACAGGTAGTCCTCAATTTACAACAGTTCATTTAGTTATTGTTTGAAGTTACAATGGCACTGAAAATAGTGACTTATGACCGTTTTTCACATGACTGTTCTAATGTGGTCACATGATCCAAATTCAGACACTTGGCAACTGATTCATACATTTTGCAACTTCCTGACAAGCAAAGTGAATGGGCCAGATTTACTTAACAGCCATGTCACTAACTTAACAACTGCAGTGATTCACTTAACAACTGGGGCAAGAGAGGTCATAAAATGAGGCAGAATTAACTTAGCAAATGTCTCACTTAACAACAGAAATTTTGGACTGAATTGTGGTCGTAAAGTCGAGGACTACCTATACAACTGAAATTAAGATAGTGTATATATTCTTGCACCATCACAAACTACTCATAGACTTCAGATCAACAGAAAAAAACATTTAAGAAAATAAAAGTACCAGTGCTTGAAACATAGAAAACTAATTGCCAAGAAATGAAGATTCATGCGTACAATTTCCTGCCATTCAATTTATTTGTAACAATAAATGGTTACGTGTTTTTGGAATTACTGTAATATAGCATATCTGGAGGGTCGTAGGCTGATATATATAGCACATCTTTTTCCTATGTGAAATTAGTAATTTCTGCAGGCTATAGTAATATAGTCATTTAAGAATAAGTTACACTTTCTTGTTTTAATTTGCAGGCCACATGACTGTGTTGTGGTGAAACCTGGATTTCTCCACCACCCCCTTCCCCCAAAAAACCAGTAAAGGTTTATTTAAATACATTTAATCAACAAAATACATTGAATCCAGTGTTACTTTCCTGTTAGTTAATTCCGTATTGTATTAAAATAACGTGCATACAATGCATACAATATACAATGCATATATCAGTGGCTTCAGAATTCAGCAAGTATGTCTTTGGCTTTTTGACAACATTCTTGTAAAGAGAAACTGTTGAAGTTCCTAACTTACTCCTACCTCTCATAGAACATAATGCAAACCCTCAAATAGTTAAGGGGTAAAATTCTTGATGTAAAACATCTTCTGTGTATAATATACTAAGGCATTTCTACGAAACTGAGCTTAATGTTGAGTGGCAATAGCACATGAGCCCCCTGCACTGTTTAAACAGTACTATTTTTGGCATCTGGGTGTTGGCTTGTCTCCCCAGCAGTTTTAAAGTGAAGTGGTTGTATGCAGAAAAGAGCTTACAGCTCTGGGACTTGCAAAGGAGAACTTAAAATGGGCTGCTGTTTCACTAAAGAACCAAATAACAGCCATAATGAGAAAATGAGCCTGCTGCAGAAAAGCATAGAAGAGGAAACCTCTGAAAATAGGATAAGTAAAACTTTAATTTCAGTTTTAGAGGCTAAGGAAAAAATGGAGTTGCACGTAATCCAAGAGGCAGATTGCCTAGAACCTACCATTTATAATGACTGTACAGAATCAATTAAGCATCCTTCAGCCCATCGTGTGGGGTTTGCTGGGAACATTTCTAGTAGGCAATTTAAACCTCATTGGTTTAATACAGAAAGAAGTTTGAATAAGTACGATCGTTTACCAGAAACTGAATTAACAGACGGGATTAATGATAAAAAGCTAACAGAAAAAAGCAGTCACAATAATCAGTTTGTGAATAATGCAGGCAGCCATCATATTAATATTAATAGTGAAAGTGAATTGATTCTCTCTGAAAAGCAATGGCATTCATTTGAAAATACTTCTGCTTTGTGTATGCCGATGGCTTTAAATGAAGAAGGTTTGTTTCTAGAAGCTCTAAATACTTATGGTGTAATGCGCAAGAGTTTCATGCCACAAGCTGAAATGGAGACTGTTGAAGATAATGATGCAGTTTCAAGTAGAATGGATAAGGAAGTAGCAGCTTTGACAAACTCTGTATATTTTGACATAGACAGACATCACAGGAATGCCAAAGATGAATTCTATAGTATTTGTATGATTGATGATGATATGAGAAATGAAAAAAGGCAAGCAATCACTAATGAAGAGTCTATTACCACTGTACAACCATCCACTATTCAGGAAGACTGCAGTTTAATATGCCCAGTAGAAGATAGGGAAGACCTCTTAGTTCAGGAAGCAGGGCACGTGCCAGTTAATATCAGCATTCTGAAAGATGCTAATCTGATGAATAATAATACAGTGCGAGAAAGTGAAAAGAAAAAAGACCCTCCCTTTGGCTTGGTGAGTGAGGGCTATGAAAGCATAGCAACATGCAGTGTAGAGGCACAAGCCCATGTTGAAGAAGGACCTCAAAATAGAACTTGGAAAATGGATATGCTTAATAGTAGAATCATTTTGAATGAATCAGATTGTGAACACAATTCTTCAACGCCTATCCTTGTGGAGAAAGGCGTAGACATGAATTCTTTGCAATTCAGAAAGTCAGGATATACATGCCATTCCAGCCCGGATGATGGCAGGAGTAGTCATGATATTAAAGTAAATTTTGAACATCATGAAAATCAAAATATTGAAGGAGAATATTGTAAATGTTTGTTATCAAAGCCACTGATTTCATCAGAATGTAGTCATGCAGCCATTGATTCAGTTTTTGAAAGACAAACCAATACAGAAATTGTAAGGCAAGGAAATAGGCAAAAATTAGAAAACAAACACAAGTGTTTCAGGAATGTGAATGAATTTCAGACAATTTCTGATTGCAGCGATGAGGAAATATCAGATATTTCTGAACAGAATAATATAGAGAATCTCTTGAAATATGACACAGTTTCTCATCAGGAAACTTCATGCAGTCCTGAAAACCCGACTAAAAATGCTATCATCATGTTTTCAGCATCAAATGATTTAGTTTCTGAAGCAGAACAAACTCACGTACCAGAGTTTAGCAATAATGAAGATTGCAACTCTATAAGAACTGCTCAGCAATTCCAATCTCAGATAAATATCATACCTTCAGAAAACAGTGGTTTGAAAGGAAGTCTGCTGGAGAACAAGGAGACTACAGGTTTTTCAGACCTTTTCAGCATGAACGTTGAAGGTAAGAACATTGAAAAAGAAAATTGCTTGCAAGATCAAACCCAGCAAAATTTCTTAAAAAGCAGCAGTAAAACATATGAATATTCCAATGCACTTAATGAAGACAGACATTGCTCCATCTGTTTGTCATGTCCTGAATCAAATGAGTTGGATTTGGACAGGAAACAGTCAAAGGCATGGAGCAAATATATGTTCTATAGGCCTGAAGATCAAATAAATGTAGTCCCTGCAGAAAACCTTATAAATGGAACCCATGAGACATGGTTCAGTGGAGTGGAATCTAAAGCTTCTGATGGTTCCAGTATTAGTTTTAGTTGCATATTGAATACTAGTAGTAATTCACTAGAGATGCATAGTGTATCTCCAGAAACACAAGAAATGCTTGCAGATCTGAAAGCTCCTAAAAATCTGCAGACTTACATATCTAACAGCCAAAGTGAAACCGTGAGGTTTCCTACATCGGATTTAATAGCAGAAATAGAATACAAAGAAACATCTAGCAATTTAAATGAAAAAAGTTCAGAAGTTTATAAAAATAGCTCTTCACTTGAACAAAGTAAAATGGCAACTATATGTCCACATGATCACTTGATTTCTAGATTTTCTCTTCATTATGAAAATTTAATAAAAGAAAACACAGAGAATTCTGCTTTTGAAGATAACGATGATGAATTAAAAATCAAGATAGAAAGTTCTTCTAAAGTAAGACCTAAAGGCAGTGGGAGCTGTGGTTTGGAAACTTATGAAGATGCAGGTATGAGTTTTATTGACCCCAGACAAGAAGATAGGTATGCTGCTATTCCTTCCTACGAAATACTTCTTTTCCCTGATAATGAGCAAGAATCTGAACAGGACAATTCAAACAACGTTTTAGATCTAATGGAAGATATATTAAAGGACTCTGATAATATCCAGAAACTATATCTAAGAGATTCAGAAGATGATGATGCGTATCCGGTTTGTCAGTCTGCCAAAATAAATAGATTGTTTTCAGCCACTGATTTTACATGTGGTCAGGAATATATGAGCTATCTATGGATTGATTCCTTTAACAAAACTGAAAATGCGTGTCTGTCAGCTGGCACAATGCAAAACCAAGGTGGAGATCTAAGAGTTTCTCCTTTTCATACGGAAAAATATCATCATTTAATGAAAGAAAAGAGTGCTATTTGGGGATGGCAAGAGAGAGATGAAGAATGTGTAAGTAATTGTAGCTTCATTCATGAACCTTCTTAGAAAACAGATAGTCCTCAACTTACAACAGTTCATTTAGTGACCATTCGAAGCTACAACAGTCCTGAAAAAATTGACTTATGGCCCTTTTCCATACTTACAACTGTTGCATTATCCCCACAGTCACTGGATCAAATTTTAGATGCTTGGTAACTGACTCATATTTATGACAGTTGCAGTGTCCTGGGGTCATATGATTCACCTTTTGCAAAATTCTAACAAGCAAAGTCAGTGGGGAAGCCAGATTCACTTAACTACCAGGTTATTAACTTAACTAAACCTGCAGTGATTCACTTAACAACTGTAGCAAGAAAGGTTGTAAAATGGGGCAAAATTCACTTAACAAATGTCTCACTTAGCAACAAAAATTTTGGACTCCATTGTGGTCATAAGTCGAGGACTACCTGTACATGGTTTGACACTTAACTCGAAGATTTTAATTTGACAAAGGTTTACCTAAAGATCCTGTGGCTTGGATTTAAAAATACCTGTTTGCTTATTCTGTATTATTGATGCATTCCTGCAAAACTCCTGTAATGTTGCAGTTTGTCCTGCCCCATTCTGTGAGAACATAGGAGGCTGCAGTCTGCCCTATTGAAAGACCAAAATTCTTGTTTTTTGTAGAATCAGTTCATTATTGTAAAGTTTTCTAACCTCCTCCTGAGGTTTAAACCACGAACACCACTCCAAAATCATTACCGCCACCACCAGGGTGGATTTTATTTAAATCAAGTCGATTTAAATCATGATTTAAATCTCTAGTAAAAAGGCTTGATTTAAATCGACTCGATTTAAATTATAATTTTTAAAGAGCAACTGTCATCTGTGTCCTGTAGCAACTCCTCCTCTGACCTACTGTTGACTCACCAACAGTCCCAGTGTTGCAGAATATACAGCCTCATGCTACATAACTAAGCTCCATTTCATGCTGAATAAACTAAATTATTAATGCATCTTAAACAGAAAACTATTTTTAGATAGATTTTAACTCCAAAAGCATTTTATTAAAATAAAATTTGGTAAGTTAAAAAAAATCTGATTTATATTAAAAATAATCAATTTAAATTAAAAAAAAAACTGATATTTTTTATTCTTTAAAAAAAATATTCTTGATTTTTATCTACCCTGGCTGCCACAATAGGGAATTGGACAGAAAACGAGATTGTAACTGAGACACTTTGAGAAATACAATTTAGGTTAGTGTAACTTGACAGAATAGCATTATGTATTATATAATTCTGCAAAATATACAGAAACGTATGGTGTATATAATGCCCAAATGTTGAAATTAGTACAGTGTAGCACTTAGTCACTTTGTTGAAATACAAGAACAGTGAGAAAATTTTTAGTTCATTGGACAACCGGTTGCAAATCACATGGTTTTGTCTTTTTTAAAAAAAAAATATATGAGTTTCTTGTTAGCAATTTTAATGTACTCTCAAGATTCATTTTCCTGACTAAGATCCAGATGCAAGAATATCAAATCAAGGACACATAAATATTGCTTAAACTGGATTTGTAACTAAACATTTTTAATATGACATTTGAATATTGCCATTGTTTAAAAATAATCAGGCACTGACTTCCTTATTAACTCTGAGGGACTGAATTTTATAATATTAATTGTTGGCAGAGCTAACCAATTATCTTCATAAAATGTTATGCTGCATGTGTCTTATGCATTCTTTTTGTCTTTATTTGGAAAGGAGAAATAATACCTAATGATTTAAATGCAGTGTATTTTTCTTTTTCAAAACGTTCCCAGGCATATCTCTTTTACAGCCAGTGCAATTAAAACTAATTCTTTAAGGGAATTATTTAATTAAAAGGCCCATTTATAATATGATAAACATTTAAATAGCTTTTTTATTTTAAATCGCTATAGCTAAATGGTAAAATAATAGGTTAACATGGAGAACTATAAACCTAACGGATTTCAACAGTACTAGCGTAAATTTTGCTTGAGGCTTTTAACCATGCATATTATAATTTGTTGACTAAATTGTCATTGGCTGGACTTGGACAAACTACAAACTATATAACCACTTAGGGTTATTTGATTCAAACATTTTCCTGAGTTGTTTAGCCATAGTTATGCAATGTAATGGTTGGATTCACATATTAAACACATAAAAAACAGACAGTAGTATATTCGTATGAATTCATATTTATAAATTCATATGTAAGTCTTCTGTTTTCACTGGTTAAGTGGCTCTAAAATTGCAATCATCTGTATCTCTATAAAACAATGGCTTTAACTTTAGAAGTTTACCATAGGAATACAGTATTGCTTTTGATTTTTCTATTGATTATGCTTTTTATATGGCTCTCTTGTTCCTCGCTGCCTTTATTATGAGTTGATGAAGATATTGGCCCTAATCTTGCAACGTTTTCGTAGACTTAGATCTACTTTCTTGTCATAAATAAGAATATGCTTTCTCTTGTTCCTCCAAAGCTTGTTTGTGGGAACTGTGAGGACACAGAGAATGTTATGGGAATAAATAGTGCAAAGGGACTGTAAATAAAGGGGAAGTTGGTGGAAATCCATCTGATATTGAAAGTTAGTCACTAGAGATAAATAGCTTTGATCATAATAAAGAAATGTAAACATGGGATGCTTATGATTTAGACTTAAGAAGCAAAGTGAATTCATCTAAACATCTTGATTCAGGATATTTATAGGAAGTTTCTTTTTAAAAAGAGTGTTTCTTTCATTTTGTGTTGTACCCATATATGCAACTCTTAACAGTAATTTATTTTTAACGAGATAAATGCTGCTGTGTATCTGTATATGTGTATGCAGTTAATGAACATTGGTGTTCTGAGTATGTGTTATGTATTACAGGAGCCAGCCAAGGTTTCAGAATTAAATCCTAATGCAAAAGTGTGGGGGAATCACATGGTACACGTGGAAGCAAGTGGTACTGAAGGGGGTGTGAGCAAACCCTGGGAAGAAGTAACAGATCACCCACCCGATTCCTGTAAAGAAGGTACAAGAAATCCGTTTTGAAATACCACATTATTACTAATAACTAAAGCTAACTATTTGTATTTACACAATGCTTTCCTTGTACGAACAGTTTTTCTTTCTTCAATTAACAAGATTCCTCATACTCCTCCCAGCCCATATTTTCTTCTCTGTTTTTATTATAATCTTAACGAAACCAGCATTTACTAAACAATATGCTACTCTTAGCTAATCTCTTCCTTTCTTCCTCCCCCCACATCCTAACCCAGAGGGTATATCCTGTTCTACTTGTTCAGTTTAAAAAATAATTACTTAAAAATTAATTAATCCACCCTTAAAACATAACAGAGCCACCAAATAACGGCTTAGCTTGAGGAAAGACGAAAAGTTGTTTGCCAGCAGCAATCATGTATACACAAGCAAGAAATCATTGCATATTTCTTGCAGGTTTCATTGAGAGAAACTTAACAGCAAACCCTTCCAGGAATTAATCAGAGTATGAAATCTTTGGTGTCTAAGTCACAACAAAGTATATTTTTGTGACTCTTACAGTTTTCTCCACAGCATTAGTGGCCAATGGTGATGGTGACAAAAAATACCAGAACGAATCGTTAAAAGAACATCAAGAACCATTACTATTTGTTCCGTTATCAAATCTAACAGATATGAACTCTTCGGCTCTAGTTCATGCAGAGTACGAAATCTTTGATGTCTAAGTCACAACAAATGAAGTATATTTTTGTGACTCTTATAGTTTTCTCCACAGCATTAGAGGCCAATGGTGATGGTGACAAAAAACACCAGAACGAATCGTTAAAAGAACATCAAGAACCATCACTATCTGTTCCATTATCAAATCTAACAGATATGAACTCTTTGGCTCTAGATCATGCAGAGTACAAAACTGTACATGAAAACACTGAGTCAGGTATGGAAAAAAGGTCCTTGCTCATTCTTAAAGCTGTAAGTGTTTCTATAAGAGTTTATAGAATGATCTTCAGGAAATTTGCATATTCTAGCTACTGAAGAAACATACCTGAGCAGGACTGAATTGTAGGCATTGTTATAGATGTGCCTATATGAACAATACCTGTGACTATTAAATCCATAACACCCTATGAAGTAGGAAGTGCAGAGTAATAACTTTATCAGCACACCCCTGTGTTACGACTCATCTAATTGGAATTGTTGCTTGCCTTGTTAGGTTTGTCCTGCTTACACACATACTATAAGAACAATTTGCTTCCTGTCATCTTCCATTTTAATATCAAGCTGATATCATATCTTTTTAAAATGTAACATTCCACACCCCCTTTCAGCTTAGCACAGAGCCATACAGAGTCAAGTCAGGTAGAAAGGTTTTGCCTTATAGACAGTGTTGGGAGTTTGGATTTCTGATAGTAAAAATGAATAGAGATTATGGATCTGCATATTGTGTTATGCTACTGTGGAATTGGGATCGTAGAAACACTCAGGAGCATAGAAGAGTTCAGAGGCAGATGCATGTCTTAAACATATTTATTCATATAATAAATCATATTAACTATGTACAACAGAGATCAAGTCTCATCAGGAACAAACATGAAAAGAGAGAGATGGAGAGAGCAAGGTGGAAAAGGTTGGAGGGGGTTTTATACTCCGGGTAAGCCCCTCCTTTCCACATACGGGTGGAGACACTCTCTGCCTCCACTGGTGTCTATATGACACACGTGCCAATGGCTTGCAAATACTTGACAGCTACTAATTTCAGTTCTAAAGTGAATTCATTCCTCCAAAAGGCTTGTGCACTTCAAAAATCCAGTTCCAAGAAAAGTTGAACTGGGTGGTCTTGTCATGGCCCAAAGACCAAAAAAGTCCCAGAGTTTCTTCTAAGCAGTTTCCTTCATGGTTTCTCATCTTGCCAAACTAAAGGAAAGTCCTTGCATCCTTATAAGATAACTTAGAAGATTTCTAGCGAGGAGCTGTCTTGACCTTCTTCCTTCCAACCAAACTATCTAAAATTTGCTGTCTCTTACTCCTCTGGAAAGCATTCTCTCTCTCCTGGGAAACCAGATTACATTCACATCCCAGAGTCATCCCGTATATAGCCATCCCAAAGTCACTTTGCACAGGGAAAATGGGTGGCATATAAATTTAATAAATAAATACTATGCAGAGGTTTTGCATTTGATGGTCATAGGAAAAAACATATTATGTAAGACATTGGTATATTTTCATTCCTTCACCAACATTTGCATATTTTCTGGCCTCTCTTTAGACACAGTAGAGATGAGGAAAAAAATAAACACAATCTTATTGTAACCATTGAGCAAATGTAGTTCAGGCTGTCATCTTAATTCTCTTATACAATATTTGGAAAATAGTTTTTGTATGATGAAACCACTGCCTGAAGGAGAGAAGGTCCTGATTTGGGGTGGGGGTGGGGGTTAAAAGACATACCAGCTTAGAATCCATTTGGCGAAGGAAACATTTGAGGTCAAGCCCTTAAGTCCATACCTGGTTTCCCAAGGGAAGGCAGACAATCTGGTATGATGCTTGTAAACTGGTGATCAGCAGTAAACAAACCTATTTGACCCATTCCCAGAGCTATTCTGCTTGCTTGCACCTGGCATTCCTGGATGCTTATATAACAATTTATTTAAAACTTATTTTGGAAGAGAGGTGTTCATACCAATATGTGTAATTTTTATTTGATGAGGTTATTTTTGAGCCTTCTGATTTGTTCACAAACCATGGAATGCGGTTAATTGGAAGTGCGCCTCGCTCTGACATTCCCTTGGTGCAGCTCTTCTTCATCACCAAATTGGCAGAATGACTGCTTTAGCTTGGTTTTAACCGTATTCTTGTGATCATATGTGTATTTATTTTCTGCATGGAGGAGCTGGGAAAAATGAATAAATAAACATGCCCAATGACTTTGCATAAACTGGAGGTCTGTATAAAAGGAATGTAAATAAAAGATCTGAACAATAAGTAATAGCAACAAAATGCTTGTAGTTTGAGTTCTCATACCACAAGCATTTGCTCCACTGAAGGTTTTGGCATTCTATAAACTGCTGCTATTCAAAGTAAGTATTAAGCCCATCATGTTTGTAAGTGGTGTTGGTTAAAAAACAGACACCTACGTGACCAACTCGATTATAGAACCTTTTTTTTTTTTTGCAACCAACAAAACTTTGGAACCAGATCATAAATACATCTGGAGAGATCCATCGTAACTTCAAGTGGTCACTCAGTGACCGGTCATAAGCCGAGGACTATGTGTAGCATCGAATAATAAGCACAATACTAGCTATGTTGCTTTAAAATTGAAATGTTTTCCTTAACCACTAGAAATAGTTAAAGCAAACAAATACTTTTTTCAATCATGTCCAATTTGTGCAAATTTCAGGTGCTGTTACGATAATATTACATATACTGTGTACTAAAAGATATAAAAACAGTGATAGCTAATTATTGGAGGCCCTTGATTGTTTTCAAATACATAACACCAGACTTAATCCAAAAAGTTACTTATTTTTTATGTATAAATGATTTCTTACAACCTGCTAATTTGGAAAGAAATCGTGAACAGATTGTGTATTAACTCTTAAATATATTTTTGTTCATTGACTGTTCAGTTGAGGTAATTCCTCTTTTATCAAATATTTCTAAAATTGTGGGATAGTGCATGATTACCATTCTAAACGTAGTTATCATCATTATACATCATACTTATTTCATCTGCTTAGAATCAGATGTCTTAGCTTATCTTAAAAACCTTAACCAGTTTAAATCCAGTTAATGTTTAAATAGGAATTTCCTGGCGAGTCTGAGTAGGAAGTTTAAAAAGAAGAAAAGAGGAAATACATGGAAAATAATTTCTATACTGATTTTTTTTTAAAAAACCTGTAATGTCAATACTGCATGCCATAGTGGTAGACTATGATCTAGGCCAGTAAGATGGGTAAAGTTAAGATGAGTGAACTTCATGTTCCAGAATTCCAGCCATTATGTATTGACTAGAGAATTCTGGGAGTTGAAGTCCACCCAAGATAAAATTGCCAAGATTGAAAAATTCTGATCTAGGCACATTGCTACTTTTACGAAGAATTATATACCATTTTTTTCCCTTTATTTCTTGTTTTTCATTCTAGAAAGTAAAGAAGATCTTCGGCCAGAAGATCGAGAAGAGATACGAGAAGCTCTTAAAAAAACACTGGAGTTCTGCTTATCAAGGTAAATATATAATGGATATAATATAGTCAAGCCTGGTGCTATTGTAATAAGATTAAATGTTAATTAGGGTGGAATAGGCAATATAATTAATTATGAATGCCATAACCAATATGTTAGCCTCTGGACCACATAGAAATTCATGATCAGGTAGGGATATATTTATATGTTAATTTTATAGTTTAAAATTCAGAAAGGGTTGGGAAGGAATGAAAATCCAATCGCGAATATTTTTTTTCCTTAATCGTTTCATTTTCTTATCTTTATTTCTACAACTGAAACACAAAAGATAAAACCCAATTTTACAAGTTGCCAGCCATTTGCTAGGTGTTCCACGGCTCCCTATTACAGGAAGGTTTGTTATTTCAGTGCTTTAGAAGAACTAATTGTTGAGAATAGATGCAAGTCAATTGTATGCTGTTATCTGCACTAAAAAGGAATGTTTTGATACTGATACCGTATTTTACTTATCATTCAATGTAAGGTGCCAGACACTTTGAAATCTTGTATAGAATGAATTACATAGCAGTAATTTTTCAAAACTCCCCACATAATCTGATTACTGTTTAGTCTTTAATATAAAGCTATAGCTTTAAACAAAATTTAATGAAGCCATGTGCCTCCTTCATGACTGGCTAGAAGTTTGGTATATCTCACAATTGTTTTTTCTGTCTGCCTGGATACTGCTTTTTAAAAGCATTTGAAAATGAGCTACTTTTGGCTTTCTGTGTCAAATGGTTCAAGAAAAGCAGGACTTGACAAAAACATCAAGTTAGGCTATAATTATGTAATTTTGCAAGAAATGAGGCATTTTAAAGTAAAAAAAAAAAACACGACCATATCTTAATATTGAGGAATAATCTTAAAGGCCAGTGCAACCATTGGAATGCTCTGGTAGGAATTGCATGGAGAGTTAATTTTATACTAATCCCCCCCCCCTTTTTTTCTTCTACAGGGAGAATCTCGCTAGTGATATGTACCTTATATCTCAGATGGACAGTGATCAGTATGTGCCAATAATGACAGTAGCTAATCTTGATCACGTCAAAAAGTTAACCACAGATACGGATTTGATTGTTGAAGTGCTACGATGTAAGTCACGGCAAATCGTGTATTATTTTTGTACCATACTTTAGAATAAAAGGGCTTAATTGAGATGGGCAAGGTCGGAAGTCATTTTTATTTCCTTAAGAAGCAATGTATCTTGAAATAAGAACATCGGGGGGAGAGCTTTATACAATACTAAGTTTTTTTTCTCTTAAACAGAATTAAGTCCCTTTTTATACAGGCAGTCCTTAACGTAGAGCCATAATCAGAACTAGAAGATTTTTTGTTAAACAGTACAGGTATTAAAGGAAGTATCATGAGGCCACCCTCGAGTTTATGACCTTTATGTCCCAGTCATTAAGCAAATCATCATAGCCATTAAGTGAAACATAACGATCGCAATTTGAGACCTTCCTTTCCCTCTTCCCATTAACTTTGCTTTTCAGAAGCTGGCTGGGAAGATCACAATTAGCGATCATGTGACCCCAAGATTCTGCAGTCATCACAAAGCCAAGCTGATTGTCTATACCCAGATCTTGGTCATGTGATCACTCACATGTCATAAGTGTGAGGAATAATCATAAGTCATTTATTTCAGTGCCATCATAACTTCAAACAGTCACTGAATGAATGATCATAAATCAAGAACTACCTGTATTCATTCCCTAGCCTGAGTCAGGCTTCAGGAATGTACATGTGCCTGTTGGCTTCTTCTAGGGAACTATGAGTTTGCAAACAGCTCTCCTGAATAATGGTAGTTTTTCGGAATACAGTGTGCATTGAGTGCCTTACTTGAAGCTTATTTGCACTCTCAAGAACATCTGTGCTGGAGTTAGAAAGCCTTTAAGGGGTCAGAAACAGGATAAAATGACTTCTTTTCTAAATGACTCTCCCAGCACCTCTTAACATCAAACACATATTTTTCTGAGAGTGCATTGTTGAAATCCAGGAAGCTTCTTTTAGGAGGTCTCCTTAGCCCCATCTCAAGCCCCTTTTCCACATCGGATTAGAACAGCTGTGTGTTGCTGTTTAAAGTTTAGACATGGTAGATAGAGAAGTGAAGATAATTTCTACCTTAAGCATTGGATGTGATTGATGGTATAGTGTCAGGTGAGCCTGTAGCATGAAAAGTCAAATATATCTATCTTCCTTCCCCAGAAGGCCTCTAGATCAGGTTTGTCAAACTTGTGTCATCACGGCAGCATCACGTGACTATTGGAACTTTTCCCCCCTTTGCTAAACCAGGTGGGGCGGGGCCAGCACGTGACGCATCCATCCTGCGGGCCATGAGTTTGTCACCCCTACTCTAGATGATACACACCCTTAGCTTACCTTGATGTAGTTTTTAGGTAATGGCAGAAGTAACTACAGTCTTCCAGAGATATGTCTTTATCCCACATTCTCTCACTTAAGTGTGTCACAGAGCCTCCTAATCTATAGTCAACAGATAAAACTTTCAGTAGTAAAAGAAATAAAAATATCATGTTGCTCAATTCACAACAGCATCTTAAAGGAATCTCCTATAAAATGTTTCAAAGGAGAATTTCAGTCTGAGACAGATCTCAGGAGATAAGACATTTATGAATAACATAAGAGACACTATTGCACAGAGATCTCAAAATTCATTAAACGCAGAATAGCTGAGCTTCCATAGTATGAAATATATATCAGAACCAATAAAGGTCTGCTTTGTCCACAGAAAACAAAGAATAACCTTAGCTCGCTGCTAAATAGACATTTATCTTTGTTGCCAAAGAAACACTCCTTTTTAATTGTATGGGGGTTTTCCTGGTTCATTTTAGCTTTTTGGTTTTCTGGAAATGCCAGATTTAAATTGGAGCTCTAAAGAAGGTTTCTCCTTCTATCCATTCTGATATACTTTCTTTTATTAGTGATCAGTAATCAGTACTTTATAGGAGAACAAAGAATCATTACACTTCTCGGTCATGTTTCAATTAGATTGAATATAGATTTAGGCTCTGAATTTGTCCGGGAATGGTGATAACGGGGGAATTATATTTTTAATTTATTCCCCTGTTAAATGTTTATTTTTAATCACAATTGAGCTAATGCAATTATAGGTTAATAATGAGTGGTTCTAACCTGCAGTTCGCGAACACCTGGGGGGTGTTGATGTCATCAGATGGGGGTCTAAGAAGACTTGAAGAAATGTTATGATTTAAATCTTGAGTTAAGTCTTGCAGGTCCGTGGCCGCAAAAGGTATTTAAAGGGGATCCATGATGACGAAAAGGTTGAGAAACACTGTAATAGAATATTAAAAGTAGTAAATGCAAAATATAATTCTACCTGTTGATACCAAAGCAACAACGTTGAGGGTTTTTTTTCCAGCATTGCCTTTAGTCCAAGTAGATGAAAAAGGTGAAAAAGTCAGGCCAAACCAAAATCGCTGCATTGTAATTTTGCGTGAAGTACCTGAATCCACTCCAATTGAAGTAAGTATATTATTTCATCAACAGAGTTTTTAAAGGTTTACTTTTTAAATTGATAAAGATAGTAAAGCACTAATAAGAGAGAGGATACCTGGAGCATTAGCTTTACTATTTCATGACCTGTCTTGAAATTAAGCAAATGTCAAGCCTTCAAGTAATGTGTCCCAAAAAATAAAGTCCAAGGCATCCATCTTCCTTTTCAAATCCATTTATTAGGAACACATTAAATTGGCACGGACTTGGTGTAATTCCAACTCTGAACCGGATCTGGAAGTACACTCAATAAAAGCATAAATTAGAAACTTCCCCCCTGAGTCACAACCTCCAATCAATTATCAGTCCAACAACCCGGTGACTTCAAACTCCACCTTCAGCCATCTGCAGGCGTCTTCTCTCTTTCCACGGGAAAGGAATGGAATAAAGGGGGAAACATTCCCCCTTTATCTTTACACCCCCCCTTTCAACAGTTAGAAAGTGGTGAGCCTGAAATATTTATAAAATTCAGTTACTACAAACCTAAAAGCTAACAGAAAAAGAGTACAAAGGCTACAAGAAAATATGGCTACACATATGTCATCCTCAGGGTCAACAGGCTTCCCCCCTTTAAGCAAAAAGAATGTCCAGCAAAGAGACAACCGTAAAAGATTAACTCTAACCTCCCCTGCCATCTCCAGGAATCCCCTATGGATTATGAGGATTCTTCTCATGGAAACTTTTAATCAATCTATCAGCATTCACCTTCCAGCTGTTTACCCAGGTTGCCTCTGAAATAGGGATATCCTTTCCAATGTATTAAATACTGTAATTGCCCCCTATAAATGTGGGAATCTAAAATTAGTTTAACCTCGTAATGTTCATGATCCGCAATTTATTTATTTATTTATTTTAGGAGGTCCAAGCACTCTTCAAAGGCGAGAACCTGCCTAAGTTCATCAACTGTGAGTTTGCCTATAATGACAACTGGTTTATTACATTTGAGTCTGAAGCAGATGCACAACAGGTAAGCTTTCTTTTTTGTATGTGGGTATGTATGCATTTTTGCATACGTTATTTTGAATTACCTATGTCAGAAACTGTATGATTCAGGTTAATCATGGTTCAAGTACAGTACTATGATGAGAGCACAACCAAAGAAGACCTCAGCTACTAAGTGACAATAAGGGATCATTCTCCCATGTTTGGAACAAAACACTGACTCTGTTATGCAAATAAGGATTCTATCATTAAATATACTAATTATTTCCCCCAGTTAATTTGGCAGTTGGGAAATAATTAAAGGTAGTCAGCAAATAGTTAAATAAACAAGTAGCCACAGGCAGTATTGTCATATAATTGTAAGTTCTCCAGTTGGGAAGGTATTTGTAATTTTAATAAGTACGCTAAGTCCATTGAAGGCATAGCAGATAGTTTATCTCCCACACACACACACACAATCTTATTAGCATGATCTTGGTAGATTTTGAAAGTCTAGTGAAAAGGAGTCTGAAGTTAACAGTTCTCCAGCTGCTATATGATGTTAATAGTATCACTTGGGTTCAATTTCCACTAAAATGAGTTATATAACTCATTTGTTCCTGTTGGCTTTGATAAATCCAAAATGCATATTCTATTATTGTCAAGTTTGCCTGGATTTCTCTCAAAACATTTTTCAACCCCATAATTGCAAAAAATTTCCAGTGCTTTCTCTAGCTGATTCTTTTCCACAATATAAGGTTATTGCCGGATCAAAATAAACACAAAAAAATTGATGTGTTTCCAAACATAGAGCCCTATAATATGTTATTTGTAAATTTGCATCATATATGTAAATTTTACATTAGGTAAAAAGGTATTCATGCTTTTATTCCCATTAATTCACTAGCACCATTTCAAACAAGTGTATCTTTCTTTTAAAGGCTTACAAATACCTTAGAGAAGATGTGAAAACTTTCCAAGGAAAACCAATTAAGGTAACTGAATTATTTCAAAATTTGAATTATAATTGGGATAGTTCTGAACAGCGTCTTCCTAAGAATATAATCTTCTATCATTCACAGGCAAGAATAAAAGCAAAAGCAATAGCTATAAATTCATTTTTGCCAAAGAATGGATACAGACCTGTGGACATGAATATCTACACACAACAGCGTTATACAACATCATTTGCCTACATACCTCCAGTATATGGGCCCCAACAGCAATTTCCACTATATAGTTTAATTACACCACAAGCCTGGTCTACAACACATAGTTATATTGATCCGTCATTGGTAAGCGCTGGAATACCATTTTTGTTTGTTTGTTTGTTTGTTTGATGTTCATGCTACTGCAGAGGATTTGGGGGAACTCTCTAGGGAGAGAAAACTTGCACAATTGTATTTTACAACCATTCTATGTATTATTCCTCTGTACCAAAAACTTCTTATGTATCTATACTTAGAGGAGAGGATTATGGTAAACTTTTCTGCAGTTGTATTCAGTAAGACACAGGAAACTTTTAATGGGGAAAATGAAATTCCTTTGAAACATAACGGTATAGTCTTGAAGCTTTTAGTATGTTTGTACTGTTTGCAAAGTGCAATTTTGAAACCTGTGCTTTCCCTTTTTGAGTCGGACATCAGGGCATTTCCTGAAGTAGCTAATTTTAAAGTTAAATCTACCTTACTCGATCTAATACTTTGATTCAAACTCAGAACATTCTGTTTAATAATCAAACAGGTTAAAATTCCGGACAATTTGGCAATTGGTTCATATTTATGACCATTGCTATGTCCCAAGGTCATGTGATCAACTTTTGTAACCTTCTGACAAGCAAAATCAATAAGAAAACCAGATTCATTTAACAAGTAGGTCTGTTGTAGCATATCGCCTACAGCAACTCACGAACAACTGTGGCAAAAAGTCATAAAATGGGGCAAAATTCACTTAATAAATGCCTCACTTAACAACAGAAATTTTGGGTTCTATTGTCATAAGTTGAGGAGTACCTGTATTTATATTGTATTGTATTATAAGTCTATTTATAAATATATTCTAATTGGTATGTAATGGTTTTGGTATGAAATGAGAATATTAATAAGCATAAGTTTGATGCTTATGAGGAAAGGTAAAGTGAACTAATGAAACCATCGTGCTATTTTCAGAACTTTATGGATATATTGAAAGTTTCAAATCTGTATCTGAAATTTTCTGTCCTATAGGTCGCCCCATTTCCAAATACTGGATTTATCAATGGATTTACAGCTCCTACTTTCAAGCCAACTGTTGCTCCACTTGCTACTCTTAGGCAGTATACACCAAGGACCAGGCAAGTTCTGTTAACACATTTTTGCCTATCTGGACAATATGCCTGGTGCAAATAAACTCATATATCTCTCAGGCATTTCGATCACAAAATGTCACAATTTCTCTCTCTCTCTCTCTTGGTCTCTTAAAAAGGCATACACAACAAGAAAGGCAGGTAAAATGGAATAGGGAAATATTTGTATAGAAGACAAAGAACCAAAGAAAGTTGCAAATGTTTTATAGCAAATTATGAATTCTATTACAAAATGACCATTGAGTCATAACTGTTGTCTTTGTGCAGAGAAGTATGTTTCCAAAATAAACTTTGGACTGTAGCACCCATCATTCTAAAGATGCCTCTAGAATTTGTGTTTGACACAGAGGCATTCTTGGAAATACGGATTGCTGTTGAGAGTAGTGCCGAACGCTGTGATCAATTGACCTTAGACTCCAGTAAAAGCTGTGCATGTTGATGCAATTCTAAACATCTCCTGAAGATGTCTTACGATAGCTCTGAAAGGTTTTTATTTTTCCCTGTCCAGAAATCCCAGCAAATCATATCTACGGCATACAATTCCTACTGTAGACAGAGGGACTGGATTACTAGAGAGCCCTACAATATTCAATCTTTCTGCTGACCGATTAATCAACGGTGTCAGGAGCCCACAAGCCAGGCAGCCAGGACAAAACAGAACACGGATGCAAAGTACTACAAGCTACATAAAGCGAGATGTAGGGAGCGGGCGAGTAGAATCCACGGCTTCAGATTCATCCCCCAGCTTAGGCAGAGGAAGGTGGGTATTGAAATTTAGGGTAAAGCACTAGCCCCTGAGGTTGGGAATGTTGTGTGTTTCCATGTTAGAGATTTCAAAAAGAAAAATTCTGTGGAAATAAGGCAAGAAAAAACTTCTCAGTTGAGAAGAGAAAGATCTAAACAAGCAGAACTATTTGAATTGAATTTGTATTTGATAGTATAATCAGTGGCAAAGCACTAAGGAGATTCTCAGGTCAAATTAAGCTGTGATGATTTAGTTCTCTTCAGTATGTGAGCCGACTTTTGTTTATAGAGAATAGTTTCAGCTAAGAAATTGATCTTATCTATCTATCTATCTATCTATCTATCTATCTATCTATCTATCTATCTAAAAATAATCTAGAAACATAACAGCATATGGAAAGTAGTGATGCAGATGTCACTTTATGTGATGATATGTGCAATAATATTTTGTGCATAACTTACAACTACTTATCAAAAAAGCTGATTGCTACTATATTGAATTGTTTATTAAAGTGGATCTAATTAGCGCAGCTTAGAAAATTAATGGCAAAGGAATTATTTCCAGAAATTTTGAAAAATGTTTTTTTTTTAGAAAAAGAAAAAAAGTTATTTAATGAGCATCATACTTTGGTTTTTTTAATATTTAAAATAAAACAATGTACATCTAGACTTACAAAGTTCTTGCATAAGTAATCTTCAATGAAAGTTGTAATATTTAGGGATTCAGGATATTTGACATTTCTGATATTCCGGAATGCTAATTGGAATGCTACAAATAAATGGAAAGTATAGGTTTGAAATTGGTAGCAAGGCCATTCAGACGTGTTTAACACTTCCTCTTGGAAATTCAGGACAGCATACAAACTCCTCCATTTTCTATTACATTTACTTCTAAAATTTTTCACATTATGACCCCGAGAGGTTAGGTGAGAGAGACCTGGAGAGAGTGTAGGTTACACTAGGCTGAATAATAGTGATTTGCCCAAGATCACCTGAGAGCCTGCTTCTTTGACCTAATTGAAAGTTCTGAGGGTTTTCTCAGTGTAACAATATAATCACATTTAAAATGATGCCTTAAGAATGAATAAATTCTAATAATGATGATGTCTGTCCTTCCAGAAAAAACTTTTATGGCTATCGAAAAAAAAGAGATGACAAGTTCGTGGTGAGTATGCATTGTCTAGTTATTCACTAGAGACTAGAAGATTCTTGATTAATATAGTAGCGCAGCCTTGGTGAGGAATGATTTCGCATGATGGTAAATGGAGATTTAAGTGGTAAAAATTATTCTAAATATTATTCTCTATTTTAAATATCTATTCTAAATTACCCCAAATCGTCATGAGGTAAATGGCAAAGTTGTTGACATTGGGGACTCATATTTGTGTTAGATTTTCAAGTTGTTGAAGCAATATTACAAAGCATCCTGCTTCTTGGTCCAGGTCTGTTTGAATTCCTTTTCTAACTAATCTGTTCTATCAAACAGGAGAAAATTCTCTCATGCCAAAATGACTGATTCTCATTTTAGTCACAATGGTTTCCTACAAACTCCTTGATATTAGCTGATTGTGTTCTTACTTTTCTCCTTATCTATAATTTCCATCTTTTTTTCCTTATGCTTCTAAGTGGATCTTATTTTAAAAAAATGAATCTCCCTTTCCATTTTCCCCACAAGACAGAGATATGCTCACATTACTTGTTTCATGTTTTGGCCTTAATAGTAAGAAGAAATACTTAATTCTCCCATTTAAAATATCACAGTGGTTATTGTTTTCAGCTTCCTGTAGAAAACCAAGTAGAATCATAATTAAAGGAAGCTGTGTGCTGTGGGGGCTGTTTTTTTAATTACTTTAATTGAAACTTTAAAAAAAAATAAGATGGAAACTAATATAGGATCATATAAAGTAAGAAACAAAAGAAATCAACAAGAAAGAAAGTGCAAGAAAATAAGTTTTAGAAAAATATATATAAAAAAGAAAAAAATGTAAAGAGGCTTCTGACATTCTTCACAGCTGATATAAGTACAATTACATTTTAATCTCGCTCTCTAAAGTTATATAATACTTTTCTTTCTCTAATGTATCTTAATAAAGTCATAAATCTTAAATTAATTTTTTTCATTTTTGCACAAAAAGTTCCTAAGAGCTTTCACTATCTACCAATAAATGTAAATAGTATCTTTTTTTGTAATCAAAGAAATTAATTTATCCATGTTTGCAAGATGTGTCAATTTTACCAAACATTCCTCCATAGTGGATAGTGTTTAATCTTTCCTTATCTCTGGGTGACTGTTTTTCATGCATAAAATTGTCAAGGTATGCCCAGAAAACCTGCACCAACTCCTTACAGTAAGAGCTGTTTTTTTTTTTATTCACCTGGGTTTCTTGAAATAAAGATGATGGTAAAAGGGCTTTCTTTGTTGTATTACCTTTCCTTTGGGACAGCATCCCTTGGAGAATCACTCCCCTCCCACCATTCAAGACAACCTTAAAAATATGGCTATTCTCTAAGGATTTAGTTATGTTATTTAGTAGACATGTTTAGGTTGGGGTGATATGGAAAACTGTTTTCTTCACGGTTTCCTCAGGGTGATGGATCTTCTTTTATAGCATGTTAATTCCTCTGTTGTTAACTTTTGTTAAGAATCATTGTTTATGTTAGACAGTCTGAAATGGATGGATGGATAGATGGATAGATGGATGGATGGCAATATTAATCCATTTCTTGTGGACAATGCTTATAATGCATTGTGTTGTATTCTAACTTGTGAATGATAAATTTAAATCTATATCACCTACTCAGACATAGCCTGTTGACAGGAAAGAAATATATTTAATAAATAGAAAGCCAACCGATGTTCGTACTTTATGACTGCTTGAATGTGAGGTACGCAAATTTTGCTTGTTCCCTACAAGTTTGTGCCCTTTTCCTTGAAGATTGCTGTTGCCTTGCTTTCTTATTCTACACTTCTCTTGCAGAGAGGACAAACGCAGTCTCCACCCCCTACAAAACCACCATCTCCAAGTTTTGAGCTGGGGTTGTCCAGTTTCCCTCCCTTGCCTGGAGCTGCTGGCAATCTGAAGACTGAAGACTTGTTTGAAAACTGGTTGTCAAATGTGAATGTGTCATCAAAAGAAAAAGTAAAGATCCACAGATGTTGGGCAAGGGTGCATTTGGGGACACACACTAGTTCACTCTGAGGATCATAATTCTTCATTGGTCCTTGTGATTGTTTTGAGAAAAGAGAGAGGCTCAGGAACAACACCAATCTTATAAAGTATTGCTTTCTCCAGCAGGCTATTTTCTTTAGTGCTGTTGTACTTGATAGTAGACTTGCCAATATCATTTGGCTAGAAGCCTGCTTGGCATGGATGTTTAAGTATCTTTAAATCCTGCTCCTGAAGTCAGATTTTTCTCAGAATGGTATATAATGGAGTACATAATCTTCAGCCTGGAAAAGGGTCACACTTCAAACACTAGGTGGGAATGCTTACTGTTACATGCGTTGTTAAACCTCTCAGATACCGAACTATGTGGCATCAAATATTAACTCTACCGTTTATTTCTTGCGGTGGACAGTTCTGTATTTGGCCAAGATTAAAGCAATATATCATATTCAGCATTGACTTTGATGCAGATTGACATTATTTAAAAAAGTTATCTACAGCTATTGTACCATGCCTACTTTGTGAGGTAAATATGGCTTAATCTTTTCTTTGAGAGTTTAATAATCCACAACAGTAGTTGGGCAAGGCTGCTACAGGTTGTTCTCGACTTACAAATGCAATGGAGCCCCAAATTTCTGTTGCTAAGCAAGGCAGTTATTAAGGGAAGTTTGCCCAATTTTACGACCTTTTTTGCCAAAATTGTTAACCAAATACATTGCAGTTGTTAAGCGAATCATTCATTCATTAAATAAATCTCTTTTCCCCCATTGACTTTACTTGTTGGAAGCCAACTAGGAAGATTTACAAATGGTGATCTCATGATGTTGAAATGCTGCAACTGTCATAAATATATGCCAGTTGCCAAGCATCTGAATTTTTATCATGGGATGCTGCAGTGGTCATAAGTATGAAAAAGGCCATAAATCATTTTTTCAGTGGCATTATAACTTCAAACAATCACTAAATGAATTGTTTTAAGTCAACAACTACCTGTACTATCTTTGGTCTGCCTCTGATGACAATGGTTTGGTTATAAATATATTCTGCTGTTGAATTGAAATGTACTTTAAATGACTTGAATTTTGTTTTTCTCAGGACATCAGTGTAGGTACAAACACAGTACCAGCTGGAATTCCTCGTGAGCTTTCTTTGCCAGTTTCTTCTGCTCTGCCAGGGACATCCGAAACATCTCCTTCCCCATCCAAAGCTACTGAGTAAGGACCTCATAATACCAAGCTTTGAACACATTGTTTTAAATCAACCTTTTACATCGATTTTTTCATCGTCAAAAGGCTGGATATTATTCTTTCAATAGCTTTTGGGCTGTTTCATAAACAACACTGCTTATGTAATAGCAGCAGCATATAATTTTTGGCTAAATTGTACAAAAGCACATACTGATTTATGGCTTGATTGTCAGTATTGAAAAAATTATCCATGTGTCTGCAATATAAACAGGTTTCTTACAATAAAAATAGATAGTAGTGATTTGCTACTATGGATGTCACTATGCAGAAGATAGAATTGAGGTATTTTCATTGTACTCACCTATTTCTGTCTATTATTTTACAGTGATCCCAAAGCTATGGAGAAGCAGAAAGAAACCCCAAGTACTCAAAGACTTTGTTGCATTGTTACTACTGCTTCCAAATCAGTACAAGTCAATGGGGATCTTCTAGCAGTAAGTGCATTTTGATTTTTATAAGACGTTGATGAGAACCTTTTGGATTTTATATTTTTATTTATACTAGAGGAGAGATTTGTTGTCACAAAAGCACACCATGCTAAACAATGTGATATGTTTGTTTTGACTTAATATATTGTGCAAATCCAGTTCCTCTGATGCTTTTCAAAGAAGCCATCATGTTTTCAAAGTTCTCTCTAACCTCAGAATTCCAGTTGTCTTGCAGATGGCAGGCGTACAAGTCTTACAATTACAACATGTTGAATCAAAAAGTTAAAATTAAATTCCAGCAGCAAAGTAGTCAGAATGTGGCGTCTGGGCAGTAAATCCACCGTGTCCAAAACAGATGTTAATATCTATCTTGCATGCTGAGAATCAAGAATTAAACCATAATGAACCATTGTTTGTTACACAAATCCAGCCATTTTAATTTAAAAGCCCTGGATTATGATTCCCCCTGTGGTTTGAATTAAGCCAGTTGAGGTTTATTTACCAGCCATGTTATTAGCCTGTTCATGACTGCTTCAGCCATCCTCCTGATAGTTTGCTCATATAGGTAGTCTGTCAACTTCGAAATGACCAGCCCACCTGGCCCCCAAAAGTCAAAGAGGCCACCCAGAAAGGCACCCGAGAAGTCTAAGGCACTCCATCGTCCACTGGAGGGGTTGGTTGGGCCAGGGCTCAGTTGCCGCCTTCCCTGTTTTCAGTAGATCTGTGATCGGCAGAACTACTTTTGCGAATGAGAGGATGAACTGCTGGTAGAAGTTTGCGAAGCCCAGGAAGCTTTGCAACTGCTTACAGTTCCTCAGAGTTTGCCGCTCTAGAATGGATGTCGCTTTTGTCAGATCCTTTGCTCAGATCTATGACATAGTCCTTAACTTACAACCATTCGTTTGAAGTTACAGTGACCAATCCCCAAAGTTATGGCAGTTTCAATATCCCCATGATCACATGATCAGAATTTAGGGACTTGGTAGCCCACTTAAAACTGCAGGGGGACTTCAGTTACCTCCACCCACCTATCTCCTCTGTCTATGACTTTTTGGCACCCAGCACTGCACCTTCCCTGCTGCCCTGGTTGACCTTTGCCGTCTTCTTGCTCACTGCTAACCAAGCATGCCTACCTAGCCTGGCCTTCTGCGAGGCAACTACTGGCTGTGCAAAGCTTCCTTTTCTGGTTATGGACAATGGTTTCTTCACAACACTTGGGAAGATGGCTTCACACAGCCAACACTTGCCTTAAGAACAGCTAGGCTGGACATCAGCAGTGGGAACAGGAAGATTAGTTGGGATGGCAGAGCGCCAGGTGATAGTGGCCTCGGAGTGCAGGGGGCCAAGGCTGAGGTTTTGTGCCTTGCTGCTGGGGCTCGGCTTCACATTGTGCTGTGGCCTAAAACCACAGCATACTAAGAAGCCATTTTGTTGCACACTGTTGGGCCGAGTGGAGTCTTCTAGAGTTGGTTGCACTCTCACACTGCAGCTCAGGATCTTCCTACAGTCCCAGAGCTGCGGCTTGCCAAGAAAACTCCTAAGCTCCTGAACTGAAGCATGGCAAGCAGCCCCAGAGTCACACGATTAGTAGGGATGGGACCAAAAGCAAGTATGGAGAGAGATAGGTAAATGGGGAGGAGTTGGAAGCAGTCCCTTACCTTATCAAGACTCAGGGCTTGGAAGGACCAAACCCAGAAGGGTTTGGATTAGGTCAGGTTCTTAGCTAAAAGCAATAGCACTTAGATTTATATTCTGCTTCATAGCGCTTTGCAACATTCTGTGTTGACGGAGTCAGCATATTTTCCCCAACAATCCTTATTTTACCGGCCTTGGAAGGATGGAAGGCTGAGTAAACCTTGAGCCAGTCAGGATTGAACTCCTGGCGGTGAGCAATGAGTTAGCCTACAATAGTGCAGCCTTAACCACTATGCTACCACGGCTCTTAATGACTGGTGAAATTCTGTTAATGAGTGCCAAGAGTCAGCATCACTAAGTGATACTGTCATTAAGGGAATTTCACTGATCACAGGATGTCATGCTTTAGGATAGCACTGCTTAATGATGGGATTTCAATCCCAATAAGCCAAAGACTACCTGTATGCCTTACATTATTTTCCCAAGTAATTTCCAGAGAGGCTGAAGCTGCAGTATGATTTTTATCACGCTGATGCCCATCAGGGATTCAAGATTCCAGTCAACAATTGAATGTCTTACCCTATTTATGCTTCAATTCTTCAGAACAACAAAAAATTTCTTAAGGAGTAACTCTTCATGTTGAAAAATCACAAGCCTAAGCAAGACCTTCATCTTCTTTTGTGCAGAATTAATATTTCTGGTAGTGATGAGCTTACTCTGTTTTATTCCATTTTATTTTTGTGTGTGTGTTTTTAATAAAGCAGGAACGGCGGAAACCTAGTTATGCAGAAATATGCCAGAGGATTAGTAGGGATGCAGCTCCGTTGCAGTCCCCAAAAGAACAGAAGCCAAACAATGTTGGTTGTGGGAAAGAGGAAAGGAAACCCACAGAAACACTAGAAAGAAGCAGAGAGTTGAAGTCTAAAGACCAGCGGAGACCATCAGGACGCAGGTCTCCTCCAGCCATTGGGAAACGTCCGACTAAAGAACAGAGCACTCCTCCCAAATCTCCTCAGTGAAAGTAGCACTTAGGATGAATTTCAAGAAGTTTTCAGTATGAAGTTACCCTATGTTGACATTCAGAGTACCAAGAAGGAGTTGCTGGTTAAAAGCTTGCAGGGGTTATGAAGTATATGAAATGATTGCTAGGGTTTTTTTTTTTGTTGTTGTTGTTTGTTGTTATTGTTTATTTCTTATTTTTTTGTAAAATAGATTTTTTTTCCTTCTCTTTTCTTACATCCTTATCATCAAATTTCCCTTGAGCAAACAGTCAATTCCTTCAGGGTTTAATTAAACTTTATGTTAGGTTGGTGCTGAACTTAAGACGATGCTGAAGAAATACTGAAGACTAATAATAGCAGCTAATACATAAGGTATAAAGCAGAACAGATGCTTTATAAATTAGTAAGACAAGTTTAACTCTTTTTTTTTTTTTTTAAATCCCAGTTGCTTTAGCAAATCGGCAAACAGGCTATACTTTTTTTTTAAGTTTAAAAAAATAAAACTGGTTCTAATATTTTTGTTCTTGGCCAAAGGAGAACTTCATAAAGATTAACTGAGAGTTCTCTAAATTATTTGTATTGATGGACTGCAAGCAAGTAACCAGTTTCTCAGTCCAAGCTAAAATGATCTCATCAATTTCAGGAAAAGAAAAGAAAAAAAAGCACATTAGGAATTAAATAAATGTGCCCTTGGGTATGGCAGATGCAAGCTAATGGCAGTTTTTTCACAAGAGAGCACAATAGCTCTCTTGTGATGAAGATTTCAATTTTTTCCCCTTCTCTCAACTGAGGAAGCTAATTTTGAACCCTTTTCTGGTTGGACCCCGTGCTCTGTATAAGTTTTCAAAACTGTGTTCCAAATGCTCTTTGAAAGAGTTCATATCTTAATCAGCCTGAGTGCTGACATCTTCTATAACTATCAACATTGGCATATGGATTTAATTTCTTTTTTTTTTTTTTTAGTCCATGAATTGATGGTGTTTTAGTATGTATGTGCATGTATGCGGAAGAAAGAAATTGCCCTGTATCCTGCCTGGGGTGAGATTTATCACACTTACTTTAGAAGCAACATGCTTCCTGAAGGACAAGGCTGCACTTAAATTAATAAATTTCTAATAACGTTGGTGATAAATTATTTTTTGTTTAAATAGCTAAAGATTTTTCCTTTGAGTGTTTAAGCGGCAGATGGTTCAGATCAAAAGGTGTTCCTGTTAAGTAGTTTATCCCACCTACACACACACAAACACACATGCACGCATGCACGCATACACACCAAAAGATTTATTTAAACAGCTGATTTTTTTTTAAAAAAAGAATTATTTCCATCCAATCTTTAAAGACTTGAATTTTATTTAAACTTGAAAATGACTTTGCCTTAACTTTTGTATAAGACAGCTTAGAATTATTGAAGTCTGACCCCATTAAGGGTTAGCACGGGGTGGCATATACAGAATTACTCAGTTACAGTATCTATGTATTGTCACTGGTCTGACTGGGTAAACATACTCTAGTACAGGTCGTAGTGGCAGTTTTTGTAATATACCTTAAAAGATCTTAAGCAGTTGATCTTTTTCAAAATGTCGAAAAAAAATCTGTAAATGGAAATAGTCAATACTGTATTAAAATGTGCACTTGGAAGTGTGTGCTTTTGCTTGTACAGGTGTAAATAATCAGAACATATAAAAAGGTACCATTAAAAAACTGATAAAAATTATTGATATATTATAAATGTTGCTGTTGAACTGGATGTAGATAACTAAGTGTTGTGGTTTGAATATTACTTTAATTTGTTTTTCCCTTGTTTCTTTTTCTTTATTCTGATATGTTGAGCTAAGTCTGCCTCTTCACTGCTAAGGGGAATGGAAGGAAGTCTGTCTTTAAAAGTCCTGACATTGTAAATACTTTCTGAAAGTTTTGCATTTCATTCATACGGAACATAGATGTCCAGTATAAATTTCTAATTCCTAGGAGCTGAAATTAGTATTTTGATGAATTAGAAAGGAACAGCATTGCCGCCAGAAGCTCCCATCCCAAGTACACTCAACTATTCGTAGGCCAACACATTAGTAAAACTGGATTTAAATTTTCACGTAGCTATTTAAAAAGCAAACAAATAAAAATCCTAGGGCAGTTGATCTCCTAACATAAGTTGCTGCTATTTATAATTATCCTAATCAAAAGAAAAAACAAGCAAACCATCTTGCTCCTTGCACTGCAGACTTTAAAATGGCAAGTTGAGTCTTGTTTGTTATTTCCTGAGAAGACACACAAGGAAGGAGTCAAAAATCACCTTACTTAACATTGGTTTAACTTGGATCCTCCCACCCCCCCACCCCCACCCCCATGAGCAGTGAAAGGGGCAGTGAGACTGGAGGTATAATTTCGGCCAGCTATGAGTTGTCTTTGTTTGCCTGCTGCGAGCATGAGTAAAACAGCTGCAAACAAAGAGAGAAGTGGCCACAAGTAATAGAGCTAATCATCGGAGCTAGCTGATACAATAACTTTTGCAGGTCAGTAGATAGGCTGCATTGTTTTTAATGCATTTGCTGCTGCTCTTTATACTAGGCTAATACACTGTAATTCTCACTCAAATAACAGTCTGTGACAAAAGTTTGAAACTGTTACTGTGATGGCTTTTTCTTTAAAAGAAAGTGTCATGCCAAATAACTTCTCCAGTAATTTTTAACATTTTCATTTTCAAACAGTTCAGGACTATTTAACAACACAGGCTATTTATGTTTAGCTATTCAGATCTGCCTTTTTTTTTTTTTTTAAGTCGTCTTAAATTATTGAGTTGCAGGTTAAAACGGGGTGAACCCATTGGAAAGAGTGGACAGGAAGGGGTAAGACTACTTTGGTGCTCCTTGTAATAGAATTATATAGGTTCTTCCGAGTCTGTTTATTCAAAGGATGCATTCAAATATGAATTTTTGTTTCTGCATATTTAACATGTACAGTATTTTTGCCTTAGGATGTCTTATCTACCATTACTACCCTTGCTCCAATTTTGCATCTAGTCAGAAAAAAACCCCCCAATAAATTGTCAAGCTCTTAATTTTGGTTCCTATTTTTTTTTCTGCCTCTCTTCTGGTATTAGAACTTGTTTTCAGAGAGGTGTCATTCCTTGGATGCCAGTGGCATTGTCACAGCCACTGATTGACCAAGGTTCTACTTGTTTCTATATCCCTTTCAACATGCTGTAGTTTTTAGGGGTTACGGGCCCAAATCAGACTGCTAGCAGCGGACAATCAAAGGTTACTGCAAAGTGATAGCTGCCAAGTCATTAAAGCAAAGATGTCATAGGGAGGCCATATTTTTCCTGAAGGTGGGTTTTTAGTTCTTCTGTTTAAGACTGGAATCAAGCTTACATGTAAACTATTTGATAATTTAAGTTTCCTTTTATGTCATAAAATGTACAACTGTCTAAAAATGTAGGTTATGAAAAATAAAAAGATTTAGCACTGTTGAGTTTTTCTATTTTTTAAAAATTAAGTCTTTTAAAAAAAAACCTTTGCCCTGGCATTCACTTATATCTAGGCTTATTGCAATAAAGACCAGTACTAGAAGTTCCTTTGCTCCCTTCTTGGTGCTGAAGACTGACCCAGTGTGCAGTTTACTCCTTGGTCCTCATTTAACATTTTTTTCCAACATACGTCTATTTAGCTTGTTCTTGGCTCACACTCTATATAATTTGCTTGCTTTAAAATTACTTTGGCCATGAATTGAAGTAATATGTGTTTTGAGTGTGCCATCCTTTCAGCAACTGGTTCACAGCAATTGTTATTTGAGTTAATTCTGGTTTTAAAATTAACAGATAATATCCCATCTATTAGGGCATGACACTAAAGAATTGTATACAGACTGTGAAAGGGATGCGATGGCTCAGCGGCTAAAGCTGCTGAGCTTGTTGGTTGGAAAGCTGACAGCCTGGGTTCGAGACCCGAGCACCATTCAATGGAATGAGCTCCGATTACTTGCCATTCCTGCCAATCTAGCAGTGCAATGCATGTAAAATGTGTCAAGATAAATAGGTATCTCTTTGGTGGTAATAGTGTTCTTTGCTTATCAGCCATATACAGCCTTGCTGGCTACATGACCACAGAAGCGTCTCCAGAAAACACTGACTTCCTCAGCTAAGAATCTGAGATGGTCCAGACACAACTGCACAGGGAAAGTCTTTTACCATTTTATATACAGTACAGCTTTTGAAAGTCAATAGTTAATCTTAAAATTGCTGTGTTTGCCACATTTCAAAGCTATTTGCCAGATTTATTTTTAAGAACCTCATGCTATATGGATTCAATTTTCTAATCGGCCCCCCATATATGGCCCTTGTGGAAATATGATACCTATGCTAGAATTTGTTCACAAACCAATGTAATAAAATTGTAAATGATGCTGTTTCCCTATGTGGTGGTGTGTTTTTTTTTGGCCCCCAAGGTAAATTTGATACTCAAGGCTCTTCTCACTTTAAGCAAGGGAAATGGCTTTGTTCAGATAATCAAAACTGCAAGCTTTTAAGATCCTTTTGTTGTGGGAAAATAAAGACACCAGTGCTTTGCTTAGGTGCAGATTTAGGCAAGAGTTGTCCTATTGAAATCAATTACATTTAGATGTGACTAGCCCCGCTGATTTTGATTGGTCTCTTTCTCATATGAGAGTTAATAGTATGAGTTGGTACAGTATGTTTCATACAGTCACTTAATTGCAGTTTGTTTTTGTTTTTTTGTTTTTGCAAATGCTTAATTTTGTTACAATGGGAGATATTCCAAACACCAAATGAGAGAACAAAATATATATATCAAAATTGCAGCTTAACAATTCATATAGAATAACTTTAGAAAACTCTTAGGAATTATTCTGTGAAGCTAGAAATCTTAAGTGGGAAGAAATCTTAGTAAACTGTGCATATTGACTACATATTAAGCATATTTTGATTGATCCCCGCTGACTGCTCAGAAATGAACCAGCTCATGAATGTTGTACCAACTTAAGCTTCATCATAGAGGCATATTTCCATAGGCTACCTAATACATGCCTTGCCATCATAACAAACAGTATTAAATCTAGTTTGAGCATTGTTCCTTTCAAACATCAGTGATGAAACTGGCTTATTATGAAATGTGCCTTCTCTAGATAACTGGGCTTTATATTTCTCTTATAGATGCAGTTTTCAGCAATGCTCCAAGAGTGGAGCCTATTTGAATTCCTGCTCATTATTCTAGGTAGAAAGATGCGGAAATCTGTGAATAGAATAGAACAAAACAGAACAGAACAACAGAACAGAATAGAATGGAATGGAATGGAATAGGTATTTTGCCCATTATGATTGGACGCACAAGGAATTTTTCTTCAGTGCATAAGCTCTCAGTGTACATAAAAGCTATAAGTGATAAATCATGATCATAGTCATAAAAATATACATTCATCATAATAGTGATAGTCATAGGATACTAAATAAGCTATCAACATAAATCATACTGGGGAACTAAATAAAACAATATAAATCGTAAAGATACAAGCAACAAAATTCTGATCAGCACATGTCTTCACAAAAACATGATGTTATAGTATCTGAGTTCATCCAAGTCTGCAGAGCTATCTTCGAAAAAGTTCCAATCTGCGCAGTCAAGGCAAGCCTATAGTTTTAGTTTTGCCTCCTCAGTCCAAGACGTCACTGATTTAATTGTTGGTGTTATGTTTTAAGCCTTTGTCTATAAATGGGTACAAGGTGAATCATGCAATGATCAAAGTGTCCCACAGCTGCTCATGGTAAAGACCGATAAGCATCTTTTAATGATGTGTAGCAATGGTCTAAAGTATTCTTGCCTCTAGTGAGACAGTTAACCTGCTGAAAATATTTTGGTAGCTCTTGGCTTGTTAGCACTGTTAAAATCTCCTAACACAATGAGCTGTGCTTTATAATAATTAGGTGTGTGACTTAAAGTATTTGAATAAAAGCCCAGCATCTAAGACCTCATTCATGACAGCTGTAGACAAGTTCCTTGATGCCCATCAAGTTTCCAATTATTGATTTTTATTTTGAGGCCAGGCATAGTTCTGCTGGTAGATGGGAGAAACTTACCAAGCGACTTGCAACCTTTCTTGCATTCCCCATTGACGTTGCTTGTGGGAAGCTAATGGAGAAGGTCATAAATGATTATCACTTGACCATGGGGCCCTGTAACCATAAATGCAAGCCGGTTGCCAAATGCCCAGATCAGGGGTCCCAAGCACCCGGGCTGCAGCCTGTTCAGAACCGGGCCATTGAAGCAGCAGGTGAGCGCATGCAGGTGAATGGGCGCATGCTCTCAGCTCCACTTCAGCATGCACAAAACTGTGTGCACGCAGCAGGTGCACATGCACAGTGTTCACACAAAATCAGCCCCTCTCCCTCCCCCCATTGGTCCGTAAAGCCAGAAAGATTGGGGACCGATAGCCTAGATTGATTGCAGGAGTGGTGCAATGGCTGTAATTTCAAAGCCAGTCATAAGTACCACACATTGTGCACTGTTGCAACTTCCAATAATTGCAAGCAAATATAACCTATAGTTTAATGACACAGCCAGACACGTCAACCTCTATGTCTAAGTTAATTTGGAAAATACCTTGAGGTCACCATTCTCAGAAATAGAAATGGGAGATAGCAACTTAGAGAATGATGGGTTTGCCTTTGATTTAATGATAGATGTTAACTGGTTAGTTGGTTTTGTTTTGCATGGTCTTGTGTTCTGATTATAGGAATAGGCTGTCTTTCTGTGCATGTGAATGTGTGTGTGTATTTTACTAAGTTTCATCAGTATTTCTTTGTTAGAAATAAGTGATTTTAATTTTCCTTTGGATTTAGTTTCATGGTCAAGTTCTTTACCACATAAGGAGTGTAGAATTTTGAATATAGCAAAATGATTTTGCATTTAGTCTTGATTATCCTTTATTTTAGCTTTATCTCTGTCTTTTTGGGTCCAATGACTAACCAAGCTAGCCGTTTTGTACCCACAATATTTTTCACAAAATATTGGTCCATATCCTTCCAAGAAGATTGGGGTTCCTGTGCTGAAAAATATCTCAGGGTAAAGGTAAAGGTTCCCCTCGCACATATGTGCATGTTGTTTCCGACTCTAGGGGATGGTGCTCATCTCCGTTTCAAAGCCAAAGAGCCAGCGCTGTCTAAAGACGTCTCCGTGGTCATGTGACTGGCATGACTAAATGCCAAAGGTGCATGGAGTGCTGTTACCCTCCCACCAATAGGTGGTCCCTATTTTTCTACTTACATTTTTTACGTGATTTCAAACTGCTAGGTTGGCAGAAGCTGGGACAAGTAACGGGAGCTTACCCCGTTATACAGCACTGGGGATTCGAACCTCTGAACTGCCAACCTTTTGATCAACAAGCTCAGCATCTTAGCCACTGAGCCACCGTGTTCTGTTATCTGAGGCTAGGGCTACTCAAATGTATTCTCTTACGTAATTTCTCCATGTTAAATAGCCTGATGGCCCACAAACCGTTACACTGCTTTCTATATAACTACAGAAGATGTGATACAGGTGGTCCTTGACTTATAACAAATTTCTATTACTAAGTGAGACAAGTGAATTTTGCCCCATTTTAGGACCTTTCATGTCACAGTTGTTAAGTGAATCACTGCAGATACTAAGTTAATTTGACTTCTCCATTGACTTTACTTGTTAAAGTCAACGGTAAAGCAACTTTACCGTTGCTTTACAGCAACAGTCATAAATATAAATATGAACCAGTTGCCAAGCATCTGAATTTTGATCACATGTTCATGGGAATGCTGCAATGGTCATTAAGTATGAAAAACACATTCCATAATTTTTCTAATAACTTCATCTTGTTTGGATATTTCCTCATTTTTCCAATTTTTAGCAAACACAATTCTAGCCGCTGTCAATACATTCACAATCAGGTAACTCAATTCTCTGTTATATGTTTCTGGTAAGATCCCTAATAGAAAAGTCTCTGGTTTAAAGTCAATGTGCTTTTTAATCATTTTTTTCAAACCATGTGTGGATTTTAGTCCAGTATCTTTTGGCTTCTACACATGTCCACCACATATGATAATATGAGCCTGGTGTCTGACACTTGAAATTAGAGAACAGGAAGATAAACAATATTATAAAATATGGGATTTATTTTATCAGTGGCTAGATAATAAAACATGGAAATGAAATATGAAATATGAAATGGATGTTATAATACAATATATGGAAATGATTTTAATGGGATGAAAATGCCATTGTTAAATGAATGATAAATGAGAATAATGATATAAAGATATATGTTAGATTGATAATATGAGAAATTAGAGAATTAGTAAATGATGAATATGAGATGAAGCACAAAAGATTTGTAACCGACTGACACACTACTTGCAATTGGAATGGATGATGGATGTTTTTATATTTTGTTTAAAAAAAATCCAAAAAAAAGTATGAAAAATGGTCA